GGCGCCCCAGAGTGCACATTTGTTACAATTGATGAACCTACATGGACACGTCATCAGCATCCAAAGTTCACAGTTCACATTACTGCTCATTCTGGGGGTTGTACATTCTATGGGTTTGGACAAATGCACAATAACATGTATCCATCATTATGGTATCAAACAGAACAGTTGTGCTCCCCTTAAAATCCTCTGTGCTCCACCTATTCATCCCTCCCTCCCGACCCCAGGGAACCGCTGATTTTTTTTTTTTTTACCATCTCCATAGTTTTGCCTTTTCCAGAATGTCATATAGTTGGAATCATAGAGTGTGTAGTCTTTTCAGATTGGCTTCTTTGACTTAGTGATATGCATTTAAGTTTCCTCCATGTCTTTTCATGGCTTCATAGCTCATTTCTTTCCAGCACTGAATAATATTCCATTGTCTGGAATGTTTCATGGTTTATTTATTCACTCATCTGCTGAAGGACATCTTGGTTGCTTCCAGGTTTTGACAATTATGAATGAAGCTGCTATAAATATCCATGTGCAGCTTTTGTGTGGATATGCAGTTTTCAATTCCTTTGGGTAAATACCAAGGAGGGCAATTTCTGGGTTTGTACGTTAAGAGTGTTTAGTTTTATAAGCAACTGCCTAACTGTCTCCCAAAGTGGCTTTACCATTTTGCATTTTCACCAGGAATGAACATGAGTTCCTGTTGCTCTACATCCTCACCAGCATTTGGTGGTGTCTGCGCTCTGAATTTTGGTCATTCTAATAGATGTGTAGTGATATCTCAATGTGGTTTTGATTTGCACTTCCCTGATGCCATAGGATGTGGAGCATCTTTTCATTTGCTTTTTTGCTGTCTGTATATCTTCTTTAGTGGGGTGTCCTTTAAGGTCTTTGGCTCATTTTTACACTGGGCTGTTTTCTTATTGTTGAGTTTTAAGTGTTCTTTGTATATTTTGGATCTTTATCAGACGTGTATTTTGTAAAAATTCTGTTGGTTTATATAAAGTATATTTAATGTATTCATTGGAAAATTTCACATCATCCAGTTATAACAGGTGGTTCTCTATCCAGGGTGGTCCCTCCCCCTACCAGGGTACATTGGCAATGTCTGGAGACATTTTTGGTTGTCACCACTGGGAGTGCATGCTAGTGGGTGGGGCATCTAGTGGGTGGAGGCCAAGATACTGCTAAACATCCTACAACACCTGGTTTGATGAACTAGTTACCATGGTTCCTAACACGGTAAAATGTATAATTAAAAAAAAATAAGTGACATTTGTATGTGACTTGAAAGTGTCCCTCATACCAGTGGCAGGTACACATCTCTGGGAACAGGTAATACCTTGGCTATGGCTTCTTAGAAAGCACTCAGTTAATGGTAGTTGGTGTCATGATTTAGAAGTTACCTGCGGCTAAAATAGCTTGAAGAATTCTTCCTTGCCAAAGGGACCAGAATAAATTTATCTCTATATCTAGAACGGGGTTAGTTCCTCAGATCCTTTTTTCTGTCCTTTCGGGGATGGTAATGTATCATTCTTAAGGTTCCACTAGGTCTGATTTGAGTCTTGCTGTCTTTCCTTCCCCTTCCAGGAGTCTTGGAGTATCTCCGCTTGTGTTATCTCCCAGGGGACCCCTCTGAGGGCCATCACATTCTTTCCATTTTCAAGTTTTGGCTATTTGCTGCCACCTACGGCCTGCCCTCCCCTGTCTGGGTTGCCCCAGCACTCCGTACTTCCCACTGTGACAGGAACTTCTCAAAGTGTTTCACAATTGTTTGCTCACAGCCCCATTTCCCCACCGTAATTAGCCTTTGAAAATCAGACAAGAAGGATGTCTTTTTTGTTTCGGTACCCCCAGTGCTTGGCACCATAAATGTTTTTTTTTTTTTTTTTTTATAAATGAATGGTTGAATGGAGGAATGTCATAAGGTCCTTCATTATGGCTCAGTTATGATGGCCTTCTTCCAGAATCCTCATTATGATAATCATCATGGATTCATGTTCAGCATAGGTCTGGTCATGGTTTCATTTTGTGCAAGAACAAACATACGGTCTCAGGTTTCCTGTTTTTTTTTTTTAAGATTTATTTATTTGAGGGGGTGCAGAGGGAGAGGGAGAGAGGGAATTCTCAAGGAGACTCCCCGCTGAGCACCAAGCCTGATGTGGGGCTTGATCCCAGGACCTGAGATCATGACCTGAGCCAAAATCAAGAGTCTGCTGCTTAATGGACTAAGCCACCCAGGCACCCGTCTGTCTAGTTTTAATGACAGTTCTATTTGACAGTGTCTTATCCTTTTAGCACCTGCATATCCACTCTTGGGCCCTTCTTATTTGCTCTCCCCATACATTTTTTTTGTGCAGCTACTACTCCTGAAAGAAAATTGGTGGGGTTAATGTGTTTTTTGGCTGTATCTTTCTGTATTCATTTTATTTGTTCTTTATTCCCTGTCTTGTTTCATAAGGGGTTTGCAGAGATCGGTAATTGTCCTAACGGGAAATTAGGATATCTAGGCAGGATTCAGGGCAGTGCAAAACAGTGCTGCTAACACTGCATTCTAATTTAGGATGAACAAATCCCAAGATTCCGGTAAAGGCTTCTATTTCTGATGCCAGGAAACTAACAGGTTTGGCTGGACTAGAAAAATCAGAAGTGTTGACTAGATCCACCTTCAGACCTTGCTGAGATCCTTTATATCAAGTCAACAGTTGGCTACAACCCACTTTGCATCTCCCCTTACCTTGCCATCGCCAACATGTCATTTAAAAGCATTTCTTAGTTTTGCTTGACATCTTTCTATACTGAGTCAGCCCTTGCAACATGACAAATGAAAAGACTGGGAGAATTTCTAGCATCTTCTGAGAAGCAGGTTTTGTGTAAGACCAAAGGATTTGGAGTCAGTCCGGGAGTTCCAAACCCCACTCCACCACCTAAAGTTGAATACCCTCAAATTAGCCACTCCACTTCTCTGAGTTTCAGTTTTTCCATCCATAAAAGGTGGGTTATAGTTCCTTTCTCTTAGGGTTGTGGTAAGGATTAAATGAGATAAAGTGCTTGGTAGGGGAGGGGGCTTGATAAATAGTAGCTATCATTATCGTCCCAGGGAGAACGAGCAAGTTTACATTTGGGGAAAATAAGTGTATTCAGCAAGTCTGTCGCTTTGGTTTTGTACTGCTGCACACGTGTGTGCATGGGTGCATGTGATAACACATCTCCAGTTCTATCTAGTGCAGGAATTAGAAGAGTACAGGAAAGACTGTCTCCTTCAAATTTTTTATGTACATAAGTAGAACATGTATATAAATACATGCACACCCAATTTAATAATTCTAAAACAAGCATCTATGTTATTACTATCAAGATTAAGAAACAGATCATAGCAGCTCCCTGACACCTTGAATGGCCTCCATTTTAACCCCAGGGAACCACTCTCCTGACTTTTGCTTTCTTTATGGTTTTACCACCTGTACGTACATCTCTCCCTTTACATGTTTTTGGTCTGCTTTTGAAATTTATTTTAATGAAATCATACTTTATTCTATTGCCATTTCCCTCATTCAGCATTGTTTCAAAACTCATTATGTCATTGTGTTTAGCTGTATTTATTCCTTTTCATTACTGTATGAAAACACTGCAATATAAAAAATTATACTTTGTAGGGCGCCTGGGTGGCTCAGTTGGTTAAGCGACTGCCTTCGGCTCAGGTCATGATCCTGGAGTCCCGGGATCGAGTCCCATATCGGGCTCCCTGCTCAGCGGGGAGTCTGCTTCTCCCTCTGACCCTCTTCCGTCTTGTGCTCTGTCTCTCATTCTCTCTCTCTCAAATAAATAAATAAAATCTTAAAAAAAAAGTCTTTAAAAAAAATTATACTTTGTACTCCTGGTAGACATTTGTGTTGTTTCCAGGGGTTGTTTTTTTTTTTTTGCCATTATGTCATACAGTACTATTTGTACATTCTTGTACATGTGAGCCATAGGATGTGTTTATCTTCAGTTTTACCAAATGGAGCCAAACTTTTTTTTCGAGACTGTACTAATTTATAGTCCCATCAGCTATGTATGGATGACTGTGGTTCCACATCTTTTTGGGGGGGAGGGGGCGGTGAGTGTTATATCTCACTGTGGTTTTATTTTTCCTATTTCGTGATTATGTATTAGGTTGAGCACCCTTTTTTTTTTTTTTAAGATTTTATTTATTTGACAGAGACAGAGACAGCGAGAGCAGGAACACAAACAGGGGGAGCGGGAGAGGGAGAAGCAGGCTTCCCGCTGAGCAGGGAGCCGGATGCGGGGCTCGATTCCAGGACCCTGGAATCATGACCCGAGCCGAAGGCGGCCGCTTAAGAGCCACCCAGGCGCCCCGAGCACCTTTTTATACGTTTGTTGGCCATTTGGATTTCCTCTTTAGTGAAGTGCCTATTTAAATCTCCTGCGTTTAATTGATTTTTAAAATGTCCTTTCAGACAGTATCAATACATTCACCTATTGATCGCTGGGCAATCACCCCAAAGTTGCAAGTAACCGAGGCAGGTTGGCAGTTCAGGCTCAAAACATTTCCTGCCTCAGCTGTAGCAGAGAACAAGCTGATTTCCCCAAATAACAAGTACTTCGACTTTAGCCCGGTTTAAGGAACAAGAAGACTAGGGCGGCCTGGCTGCCTTCCTCCTCGCAGGTGGCCATGATAGCAAAGGACAGCGCTCTCGCGACCTCCCCAGGGATCCTATACACAAACAGACGCGTCCTTAAACGCAGAATCCTGCTTAACCGCCAATTTCAAATTTCCAGGAGCTGCCCTGCCGGGTTGGTCTTTCCCCGTTTTCCATTGGTCACGAGTCAGAGGAAGAAACAATTTGATTGGTTTTTCCTTTCACTTCCTCTATCCCTGTAAGGACTTGGGTGGGACGCAGTACTTCGTCCTAAGAGCGGGCACTCTGATTGGTCCGGACACGGCTGAGCCCCGCCCATGCTGTTCACCAGGTTCAAACGCGGCGGCGGGAGGCGCGGGGCGGAGCAGAGCGCGGACTGGCCGGGTCGGCGGAGCGTGAGTCTGAACCCCGCACGCCCATTTCTCCCCCACCCCACTCGGTAAGGCCGGGGGCAGGGCCGCCTCCACCCACACCAGTCCGGGCTTTCCCTCCAGTTGCCGGGAGGGCGGTGGTGCCGCCCCCAAGGCTGCCGAGGGCCGGAGGGTCTCACCAGGCTGGCGGTGCGCGCGCCCTCCTCCGAGAGAGCCTAAAGGTCAGTAGGTGGTGCCCGGGGCAGGAGGAATTGTTCCCTTCTTAAACCTGGAGGGGTCCCCTGTGGGTTCCGCCCTGCCTCGTTGCTTGTCAGCATTACCTGCGTTATTCCGTCCAGTGGAGTGCGGCAGCTCCCTATTATTTGTGTAGTGACTTCACACTCTCAGTACCGTCAGTCACCTCCTATTTCTCGCGTCTTTCCCACTGCTCCACCGCCTTTCGTCTCCCTGCTGTTGTCAGAGAAGGCCAGGTCCTGCCTCAGAGCCCTAGCCCTGGCTGTGCCCTCTGGACGGCACCCTGTCCTTTCCTCCCCCGCCCATCAGCAAGGCTTACTGCTTACCCGCTTCAGATCTTGCTTCAAATGTTACCTTCTCAGTGAAGTCTACTCTGACTACACTGTTAAAAATTGCGCACACACAACAGTTGCCCCTACTTTGCTCTTTCTCATTTTTAACCCTGTAGTACATATTACTTTCCAACATACTATGTAATTCGCTTATTTCAATCATTCATTCATTCAGTATTTATTAGCACCTGCTATGTGCCAGGCTCTGTGTCTCCGCCCTTGTGGAGCTTACGTTATCGGTGGAGCAGATAATAAATTGATTTGTCAGATAAGTGTATTACCTCTTGTTACAGTGAGTAAATATCTGTTTTTTAATGTCCGTTGCCAGACTGAACTTCCTAAGATCTGTTTTGTGGTGGCTGGTTTTCACCTCGCTATCCCTGACATCTTGAGGAAGATCAGGATCTTTCAAGCCCTTCCTCCTCAATTTGGCAGTACGCACTTGACCTTCTCCTGTATCTCTTCACCATTGCAGAGATGTTGAAGTTCAAATATGGAGCACGGAATCTGCTGGACGCTGGTGCTGCTGAACCCATTGCCAACCGGGCCTCCAGGCTGAATCATTTCTTCCAGGTAACACGCTGCCAGCTCTGTTCACCTGTGCTTATTTCCTTGGAACCTCCTTGTCTCTTTTATTCTTATTACAGGATTGAAGCTAATCTTCTAGGAGAAATCCTATTTGGTCTTTTATATGTGCTGATAGTAGTGGAAAAAGCCACTGTACAGAGGAGTAGCTAGCTGAACTTGTCCTTGAAGGGAGATCTTTTTTTATCATTTCTTACACTTTACTTATCTGTACTAAGGTTGTTCTTTTGTTAAGGAAAAACAAAGGCATTCTTTGGGCCACAATAGCTATAGATGTAATTCTATTTATTTTCGTTCAAGAGATTTTTTTTTTTAAAGATTTTCTTATTTATTCATTTGACTGAGGGAGAGAGAGAGAGAGAGAGAGAGGCAGGTAGAGGGAGAGGCAGGCTCCCCGCTGAGCAGGGAGCCCAATGCGGGGACTTGATCCCAGGACTCTGGGATCATGACCTGAGCTGAAGGCAGATGCTTAACCGACTGAGCCACCCAGGCGCCCTGTTCAAGAGATCTTTATTTAAAAAGAAAGAAAGAAAGAAAGAAAGAAATGATAAATACCCACACCTGTGAAACCCATATTCTGCTCAAGATAAAGAACGTTTCTATCACCCCAGAAGTGTTAAAGCTCAGGAAATAATTTCCAAGTAGACTTCTAATTCTTTTGTTTTTGATGTAGATGAAACGTTGATGTAGAAATCCTTGTTTGACTTATGAATTCACAAGTCAAGGGGACAATATAGATAGTGGTGAAGATCTGGGTTTGAATCCTGGCCCCAGCACTTGTTAGCTGTGTTATCTTGGGCGACTCTCTTGCCTTCTCTGCATTCATTTGCCACTCTTTCAAATAGAGGTTATAGCACCAAATTCACAGGGTTATCATGAGGATGAAATGAGATAATTGATATAAAGCACTTTTCTTGCTTAGCTCTTGGTAAGCCAATGGTTATAAATGGTAACTATTATTAATGCGAAGTGTAGAACTAATATTAGTTATAATAATGACAAATTTGTGTTTACTTAGCAGTAATTATATTTAGGAAGGTATTTATGCAAGGATACCTGTATGATGATACTGATACTTTCTTGATGACATTTTTTTCCCCAAAATATTGGTATTGGGGAATGTTCAAAGAGATCAGAGTGGAGACAGATTTAAAGCTTAGGTTGTTTTGTGGGACCATTCCTGTTGTCATTGTCATTTTAAGTCATGAGATATTTTTCACAAATGAATAGTCTGTCCCTAATGCTAGCTGACCGGAGTGCTGCCATGTTTTAGCCCCTTTATGTTTTACTCCAAAACTTTTTTGACTTATTACAAAATTGACTGAAGGCGTAAAATGTGCTCCTTATGTAAGAATTGTGGCTTTCAGGGCGCCTGGGTGGCTCAGTTGGTTAGGCGACTGCCTTCGGCTCAGGTCATGATCCTGGAGTCTGGGGATCGAGTCCAGCATCGGGCTCCCTGCTCAGCGGGGGGTCTGCTTCTCTCTCTGACCCTCCCCCCTCTCATGTGCTCTCTCTCTCATTCTCTCTCTCTCAAATAAATAAATAAAATCTTAAAAAAAAAATAAAAAAAAAAATTGTGGCTTTCAGCGTGCTTGGTACAGAGCCAGCATGGTCCTGATTATCTCACTTCAGCTCCATTACAGACGTAAGGACTATTCTTATTTACATTTTAAATAGGAAGAGACAGATATCGAGGGAGGCAAGGACTTGCCCAGGATCATGCATCTTGTAAATGACAGAGCCAGGCTCCATTTTTATTCTGACAACAGAGGCTGGGCATGTAACCATTGGCAACACTGCCAACGTGTGTTAGGATTTATTGTGTCTTATATTTAAATGTCATTCTAACAGCAAGGGTTGTGGGTAAATCCCCAGTTCATCTTTTTTTCGTGATGAGTTCTTTCCCGTCCCCAGGAAAGCTATTATTTGCAAGCATAGCATACATCTAACATTTGCCTAACCAGGTACGGATACTGTTCTTTCCCTGTGTAATACTATCTTTTTTTTTTTTTTAAAGATTTTATTTATTTATTTGACAGAGAGAGACAGCGAGAGAGGGAACACAATCAGGGGAGTGGGAGAGGGAGAAGCAGGCTTCCCGCCGAGCAGGGAACCTGATGCGGGGCTCGATCCCAGGACCCTGGGATCGTGACATGAGCCGAAGACAGACGCTTAACGGACTGAGCCACCCAGGCGCCCCTGTGTAATACTATTTTAATGAGGTGTAGATAGAGTAGTGATTTTGTTTTCCATTCAGGTAAGTATTTGGACTGGGTCTTAGTTTCTTTCTTATTTAAAGATTTTATTTATTTGTCAGAGAGAGAGAGAACATAAGCAGGGGGAGCGGCAGGCAGTGGGAGAAGCAGGTTCTCTGTGGAGCCAGGAGCCCGATGCAGAGCTTGATCCCAGGATCCTGGGATCATGACCGGAGCTGAAGGCAGTTGCCTAACCGACTGAGCCACCCAGGAGTCCCTGGGTTAAGTGTTTCTACTTAACGTCCCAGTGAGTTTTGTGTCAGGTGGTCAGCAGACATTTAGACTTTTGAGCCAACAAAATTTCACAAATTTGCTAGGCCGATATAGGTTTGCCAGCTTTTTATTTTGCCAACTAAGAGGTGTAAGAAGGATGTAACAAGATATAGAGAAAAGCCATTATCTTCTGGTCCTTTCGTTTCGTAAAGAAGGGACATTTTGAGAAACACCAACAGAGGAAGGACGTGATTTCAGAACACAGGTCCCTTTAAAATTTGAATGTGTATTAGCTTTATAGACCAGTCATCATGTGGTGTTCATTTTTCTCATTTCGTGGCAGACTTGAGCACTTGGTTAAGCATTAGTACTGTATTTGGGAACCGTTGCTCCAATCAGTCTAAACTCAGTAAAGAACAAAAGAACAAAGACTATTTTTTGGAATTTGTGGCAGAACTATAACCAAAGTGACAGATATGGTGGCTTGTGACCCAGTGCTTCACATCCCTGGCTGAGGTTTGAATCTCTTGGTGAGCTTGTTAACAGGTTCTAAGCTACAAAATGGGAAGTTTTAGTTCAGTAGGTCAGGGATAGCACCAGATAATTTTTTTTTTAAGATTTTATTTATTCGTTTGAGAGAGACAGAGATAGCGAGAGAGAGCACGAGCGGGGAGGAAAGGGAGAAGCAGGCTGTCCGCTGAGCAGGGAGCCCGACGCGGGGCTCGATCCCATCCTGGGATCATGACCTGAGCTGAAGGCAGATGCTTAACTGACTGAGCCACCCAGGTGCCCCAGCACCAGAGAATTTTGTTGTTTTTTTAGCTAAGTTCTTCAGGTGATTCAAATGTAGCCAGTCCGTTTCTAGTATCCAGTGCTGTGTAAGAAACCACTCACAGAGTTTAAAGCAGTGATGATTTATTTTATCTTAAGATTCTGTGGGTTGTTTGGATTCAGCTGGGCAGTTCTGTTTCACCCTGTGATATCAGCTGGGGTCACTCCAGAGGCCATATTGTGTTGGGAGCTTGGCTGGGGCTGGAATATCTGGGTACTGACTGCTGGCTAGGGCATCTCAGTGTTCCTCCAGCTGACTTCTCTATGAGGTCTTTCATTATCCAGTAGTCTAACCCAGGCCTTGTAACTTTCTTCTCTAAATAATAAATATTTTAGGCTTTGGGTGTAGCTGCAGCCATTCAGCTCTGCCATTGTAGCACAAAAGCAGCCACAGACAATATGTAAGTGAATGGGTGTGGCTGTGTTCCAATAAAACTTTATTTATAAAAACAGACGGTGGGCCACATTGGCCTATGGGCTGTAGTTTGCTGACCCCCTGGTCTAGACTAAGCTTTTTTACATGGTGACTGGCTTCCCAAAAGAGCAAAAGCAGAAGCTGCTAGGCATCTTTAGAGCTCTGCCCTGAACTGGCACAGTGTCACTTGTGTCACCTGTTGCTTGAAGCAAGTCACCGAGATAGCACAGATTTAAGGGGCGGGGAAATAGACTCTGGCTGTTGATGAGAGCGGTGCCAAGCACCTACAGAGTGAGAGGGCCTATAGGTGGCCATCTCTGCAGAGATACCTCCACACAATCCATAGCCTGGCACATGGAAATCATTGCTCTAGACCAGAGGTTGCAAACTCATGTCTTTGGGGGCCAGGCAGTGACTATGAGTGAGTCACATGGGCCACCTGGAAGACTGGGAGTCAGGTCTGCAATGAACTGCAGACCACATTCACTACCCAGAGGGGCAGCATCACTCAGCCACAGCTCAGCATCACCAGACAGGGATGTGGGGCAATGTGGCTTGGTCCTCTAGTGTTTCAGGAGAACCCCCAAATTTCCTGATTTTTCAATATTGGCAGATAATTCAAATTATTTTAAATGCTCCAGGCCCAACAAAACATGTGGGTTAGATATAGTCTGCCAGTTTGCAACTGTTGGTCTAGATCATGAATAAATTCAGCTTTAGTATGGTCACTTCATCCATACTATTCTAGATTGTTCAAGTGAATTAAAGAAACCACAGTTATATTAACAAACCTCTGGGCACACTTGAAAGAAGTAGCAATCATTGTGTCCTGTTGTAGAGACATGGAAACATTTCAGAACCAGCAGGGTCCAGAGTAAATGTTCCCATGAGCCACAGACTGTTAAGAAAGAAGGGCCTTGGGTACCTGGGAGGCTTGGTCGGTTAAGTGTCTGCCTTCGGCTCAGATCATGATCCCAGGGTCCTGGGATCCCAGTCCCACATTGGGCTCCTTTCTCAGCGGTGAGTGTGCTCCCACTGACCACCTCCCCCCCCCCCGCTCATTTTCTCTCTCTCTCTCTCTCAAAAAAAGGGGGGGCTTTTTGTTTTGTTTTTTTTTTAAAGATTTTATTTATTTATTTGACAGAGAGAGACACAGTGAGAGAGGGAACACAAGCAGGGGGAGTGGGAGAGGGAGAAGCAGGCTTCCCGCCGAGCAGGGAGCCCGATGCGGGGCTCGATCCCAGGACCTGGAATCATGACCTGAGCCGAAGGCAGACGCCCAGCGACTGAGCCACCCAGGCGCCCCTGGCTTTTTGTTTTTAATGGCATGCTTGTGAAGTTTTCCTCCCAGGTGCTGGTGGAAGAAACCCACAGTAATGGAATCTTACAAGTGATAACATAATGACTCAGTTGATGTCGCTTTAAAGAATGAAGCCCCAGAATTTTGCTGTTAGCGTGTGTCGTGAGCAGTTAAGAGTTGGTGGCTTGTAATTTACTCTGTGTGGATGTTATTGATCAAAGCTTTTCATTATTGACAGTGTCTCCATCTGCTGTTTGCTGTTTTTAGGGGAAACCACCCTTTCTGACTCAACAGCAGATGTCTCCTCTTTCCCGAGAAGGGATATTAGATGCCCTCTTCGTTCTCTTCGGAGAATGCAGTCAGCCTGCTCTGATGAAGATCAAGCACGTGAACAACTTTGTCCGGAAGTGTAAGTTTGGAGAACTTTTTCTTGAAAACTGTTCTGCTAGACAAAACTGCAAAGATGGTGGAGGCCAAAATGAGTTAGTGGTTGGTGGTCGTGGGTAAGAACTCTGCTCAGAGGAAGACAGACCCAATTTCAGGCCAGTTTCCACCTGCTGCAGCTGGGAGACCAGATAAGTCAGGTCTGCTGGTTGCAGGTGACAGAAACTCAACTTAAACTAGCTTAGGCCAAAAAGTGAATGTATGGCTCATGAAACTGAGAAATCCAGGGTTGGGTCAAACTCTTGGCATGGCTGGTTCCAGGGTGTTAAACGATGTCCTCTGGTTCCATCCTTATACCCACTCAGGGCTGATAATCTAGCAGGCATAGCAGACACAGTGCTCAGGGCCCACAGTAGTTAATTTTAATAAACTGAACTTCTTTTCATTAGTTTAATTTAATTTAATTTAGAAATAATAAAAATATTATAATAATGTATAATGATTTGGGGTTATATTCATCTTTATGTTAATGTCATGGTAAAATATAAGTTTTGACTTTTTTTAATAGTTTTTTTTTGTTTGTTTGTGTTAAAGTAGGCTCCACACTTCACGTGGAGCCTGATGCAGGGCTTGAACTCATGGCCCTGAGATCAAGACCTGAGCTAAGCTCACGAGTTGGATACTTACCCGACTGAGCCACCCCAGCGCCCCTTGATTTATTTATTTATTTTTTTTTATGGAGGAAGGGGCTGATGAAGGGAGGCGTGCCTAGGGCCTATGAAAGGCATAAATCAGCTCTACCCACACCCTCTTCTTGTCTTCCTTGAGGTGGAGGAGTTGGCTGCTGGTGTCCGTGTCCCACTTTTGTATTTTATTACCTTACATCAGTGTTTTTCAACCAGTGGTGATTTTGCCCCCCTCTGGACTCTTGGCAGTGTCTGGAGATATTTTTGGTTGTCACAGCTTGGAGGGGAAGGGTGCTACTGGCATCCAATGGGTGAAGCCAGAGATAATGCTAACCTTCCTGCAACAACAGAATAGCCACCACAGCTTAGAATTATCTGGCCTCAAATTTCAGTAGTGCCAAGTGTGAGAAATCCTCCCTTATATGACCTTGCTGTGTAACCAAGCACCCTGAACTATAGTGGCCTAAAACAGTAATCACTATATTACCTCTCATGAATCTGTGGGTTGACTGGGCTCAGCTGAGGATTTTTCCTCTCCATGTGACTCTGGCTAAGATTGCAGGCACCTGGGACTCTCCTGGTCTAGAATGTCCAAGATGGCCTGCTCAGTGTTTGGCGGGTTGCCTGGAAGACTGGACTCAGCTAGGACTCTGGGATGACTGGGCCTTTCCCTGTCTCTGTGAAGTCTCAGGGCCTCTTGCTCTCCACGTGGCTTCTCCGTGTGGTCTCTCCATCAAGGTCAGCCAATGACAGCCTGGAATACCTGTCTTGTACACAAAGTTTTACTGGAACTTGTTAGCCATGCCCTTTGTTTATGTACTCTGTGGCTGCTTTCTCACAACAAGGCATTTGAGTCATTGTGTCTGAGACTGTATGGCCTACAAAGCCTAAAATATTTACTCTCTGGCTCTTCAAGCAAAAACTTGCTGACCTCTGATCTACATGGTCCCTTTGGTGCCAGGCACCAAATTTCCAAAGCACCAAAGCTGCCAGGAAGGGACAGAGGATCTCTTTGGCTGCATTCTGTTGTTTGAAGTGAGTTATAGGGCTTCCCAAATTCCATGTGCCAGGGAACTACATGAGGTTGTGAATTCTAGGAGGCATGTGATTCATTGGGCACCATCTTTGGAGACTGGGTACCATACATACCCTGTTCAACTTTTATCGTCCACTGTCTATATTAGTACAATCCCGAGGGAAGATTCTAATTAGCTCTGCTCTGGGTCATCTGCCTACCCCTTGAGCAGGCACTGGCCAGGATATGAAGTGTGATGGGAACTTCTCTGGGTACCCAGGGGCTCAGGGCACCCTGATTACTGGGGTCTCATGGAATGGAGGATGTGTAAGTGCCCAAAGGAGCTGGGAGTTTTGAGTAGCTAAAATCAGCATATGGCCACCACAGTGACCTTTGGGATTTACCTGTACCTTGTCTCTTCTGATTCCTTATCTGCAAGATGGGGAAAACACATATGTAATAAGGCTGTGCGGGGATTGAATGACTTAGTGCACAGACCAGGCTTGTGTTGCCTGACACGTAAGAGATAATAAATGTTAACCCAATAACTAGCCGTCAACCTCAACATATATTTAACATGTTGTGTGTCTTTAATTTTAAAATGTACTTGGGTACTTTTCTTTGTTCCATATTTGAATAAACTCCCACCTTATTTTCTTGAATATTTAAATTTTTAAGTAGGGAGTGGGAGGGGAGGGGAAATTATGAGACAGACTAATTTATCAAGCCATCTTCAGGCACCTTCATCAGTCTGGAGTCTGGCCTCTGGTTATTTTATTTTTTTATTTTTAATTTTTATTCTTTAAAATGATTGATTTATAGCACAAGCAGGAGAGGTGCAGAGAATCTCAAGCAAACTCCCCGCTGAGCATGGAGCCTGATACGGGGCTTGATCCCATGACCCCGAGATCATGACCTGAGCCGAAATCCAGAATCCAGATGCTTAATCAACTGAGCCACCCCGGGCACCCCTGCCCTCTGGTTACTTTAAAGTAGTGGATCTTCTAAACTCCTTCAATAATCAGGGGACTTAGGCTTAGTGAAATGTAGATTTTTCTAATAGAATTCTCTTGCAAGGAATTGTTTTGTATTTTTGAAGAGGCTTCCTGGGGAGTAAGGCCGAGAGGTTGTGATTGAAAAACAGTGATTACATTAGTAGGGTTGTTTGTTTTCTTTTTTCCCCCTCTTTTTTTTTTTTTTTTTTAAAGATTTTATTTATTCATTTGACAGAGCGAGAGAGCACAAGCAGGGGGAGCAGTAGAGGGAGAGAGAGAAGCAGGCTTCCCGCCAAGTAGGGAGCCCGATGCAGGGCTCGATCCTAGGACCCTGGGATCATGACCTGAGCTGAAAGCAGACGCTTAACCATCTGAGCCACCCACGCGCCCCTCCCTGTTTTGAGTTTTCTGTTTTGGAATGTAAGCTTCGTTTTCACATGGGAAAAAGGGCCCAACAGCTGCTGCTGCTTAAGTTTCTTGAATCTTGTCGTAGAGATGGAGATTTTCTTTTGGGATTGTTGGAGAAAATGAGACGAAGGTATAGCTCTGAAGAGGTGCCCCATCTTTGAGCCAAAGGAGGGCGGGGAGCAGGGAACCCGGATCTGGGAACCAGGGAAGAGATTTTTGTTTCTTAATTACTGTTCTATTCCCAGGGCTTAAAACAGTGTCTGGCACATGGTAGATGTTCAGTAAATATTGGTCGAATGACTATATTGCTAAGCAAACCAAGTGGGAAAACCTTAAGCATTGTATTATAGAATTTGTGTAAAAAAATAAACTGATATTAAACATGCAAAGTGTTGATAATTGTTGAAATTGGACTGCTCTTGGTGATTTGACAGTCGCTGCAACCCTACGCTCTTCCACCTATGTTTACTGTAGGCAAAAGCTTCTGTATGTTCACAACGGTAGTACTTTGAGGTGGATATATCACTTTAAGAATTTTTTCTTCCTAATTGTAAACAGAATACAAAGTTAAATATAAAAGGTCAAAATGAGAGAATATCCCTCAAAATCTCCTCTGTCTGAGATACCCACTGTTACCAGTTTGGAGCATAATATTGCAATTTTTTTGGTCCTTATAAAATATTTATTATAGAAATTTTCAAGCATGTCTCAAGGTAAAGAGAATAGCATAGTGCACTCCCGTGTACCAGTCAGCCCTTTCCATGTATGTTCTAACATCACTCTTGTTTCATTTTACACAAAATGGATCATATGTCTGTAATATTTTGCTATTAGCTTGCTCACTTAGCAATATATTTACTCAACAAATATTTATGGAGCACTTGTTTTGTGCCAGGTTCTGTTTTGGGTACTGGGTTTATAGTAGTGATCAAAACAGAAAAAAATCCCTGCCTTTAAAGAATGTATATTCTCGTGGAGATTGAGCTACTTCATGTGCCTAATATTCTTTTACGTGGGTGGCTTTAAGTGGTTGGTTCCACTTTCCTGTTGATGGACCTTTAGGTCATTTCTTTTTTCTTTCTTTTTTTTTTTAAAGATTTTAGTTATTTGAGAGAGAGAGCGAGCATGAGTCAGGGGCAGAGGCAGAGGGAGAGGGACAAGCAGACTCCATGCTGAGCCTGACGCGGGGCTCGATCCCAGGACCCTGGGATTATGACCCAAGCTGAAGGCAGACACTTAACTGACTGAGCCACCCAGGCACCCCTGGACCTTTAGGTTCATTTCTGGTTATTTTTCTGTTACAAGCAGTGCTCGTGATGAGCATCTTGCTGTGTTTTGTTTTCCAGCACATCTGCTAACGTTTCTGTGAAGGACAAATTCCTAGAAATTGAAATGTTGAATTGATTGAGTTTCAGGAGAGGAAGGGATATACTCAGCTGTGTTGGCTTTTGCCCCTGGGTCCAAATGTTTATCTGACAAGGCTGTTCTTTGACTGCATTTTCATTACAGTGCTTTGGGTCTTCATTTCCACCTCAATATTCAGTCCTTAAATGCTGTAATTAACAGGGTGCAGGGCTGAAGTGGGATGTGGTTTTGGAGTCATAGAAGCTGCTGGTTATAGAGGGAAGTTGTGAGGGTCTTTTTTTTTTTTTTAATCATCATAGACTTGAGTTTAATATCTGACCTGTTCCCCTTAATAATCCAAAGCCTTTGGAAAAAGACATAGACATTTGGAATTGTTCCTCATAATTCTGAGTATTCTTGTGGTTTTGCCTGTAGCAGTTTGTCTACTCACGTGATTGAAATGCCTGGTGGTTGCCAGCCACGGATCCAGAGTTAAGTTGGACAAATGCTATAAGCAACCTAGGGACACAAGGTCCAGCAGAGACTCGAGAGATGTTGGCTTTGTGGGCAAGCAATAATAAAACCAGGTTCAACCCAGAAAGTTGCAAGCCAGCATATTTGGGGAATTATAATTCAAACCTCAAATACCTGATCTGAAAGAAACTTGGAAAAAGGGCAGGGAAGAAAGACTGGACTTGGCACAAGGATGTCAGGGCAAAAGGAAAATATTGTGCAGCTTTCAGCTTTGCTTCTGCATGGAATTCTCCATGAAGGCGCTTTAGATTTATTTTTTACAGTGGTCATGGTGAATTTATTTGGATCTACCCAGCACTCTTGCCTGATTCCCTCAGGGACCAAAGGGAGGTGTTTCCAGGTGTCTTCAGAGAAAGGTGTGGTCTGTGGCTGGTAAGGTACCCAGTGCAGTGGGTTCCATCATGTGTGCCTTTGATCCAAGTGAATTCAACTCCACTCGTGCCACAAAGAAAGGGGGTGGGTAGCAATTAAAACTGCATTGACTAATTTATCAATATGCTGCCCAACAACTATAGGTATGAAATGGCTTTCCCCTTCATTGGACTCATTTCCTCTCATTGTGTGAATAACTTGCCAAGCCAAGTGTAACTCTAGAATGTAGCCTCCTGGCTTTATCTGGTGCCCAATGGTGGACATGGCAACCCACTCTAGTGCCCGGAGGACTTTAGTGTCTGTGTGGGAATTCAGAAGTCTCTTGGTCTTCATCATGGCACCTTTCTGAGGGATTCTCCAGGATAATTTTGATTATGTGTTCCTCTTGTCTTCCTTTGGAGTGTAACCCCTGTTTCTCTATATGGAGTTTCTCTATTATGTGAAGGATTGAATTTTTCAGTCAGATACGGCTATTCCGCTCCATTCTTTCAGATCTTTAGAATCGTTGCATATCCAGTGATGTCCCAGCTTGGTGTTCTTAGAGCATCAGTAAATATATGGTAGATTTCAAATCTGCCATCCATTTAATCCATACTTCATACATGGAGGATCTCTACCTGTGATGGACTGAATGTTCATGTCCCCCTGCAGATTCAAATGTTGAGGCTTTAATTTCCAATATGGTGGTATTTGAAGGTGGAGGCTTTGGGAAGTAATTAGATTTAGATGAAGTCATGAAGGAAGGTGGGGCCTCCATGATGGAACTGTTGTCCTTTGAAGAAAAAGAGAGACCAGGGTTGCCTCTCTCTCCATCTTGTGAGGATATAGTGAGAAGGTGGCTTTCTATAAACTAGGAAGCGGGTTCCCACCGGGAATTCGATCTGCCAGCACCTTGATCTTGGACTTCCCAGCCTCCGGAACTATAAGAAATAAATGCCTGTTGTTTAAGCCACCTCATCTGTGGTATTTTGTGGTAACAGCCTGAGCGGACTAAGATACTGACTGAGAGACTGCACTTGAGAAAGGAGTAAGACTATATGCTAAGAAAAAGATAGTTGTAAACCCTTCCAGGCGTGTGACCTGCCAACTCTACAGAGCAAATGCCAGGACTTCATTTTTTTTGTTTGTTGGTTGGTTTTATTTTTTGTTTTTTTTTTGGTAGCACTGCTATATATTAAGGGAAAGAAGGTAGTTCTGACACCATCCAAGGGAGATGGGATAGTGGGATAAAACCTGGGTGAGTGAGATAAAACTGTGCAGAATGCACTTAGGGTGGAATGATCTGGAAGTCCACTCCAGAGTGGATTGAGATGGGAATCGTGTTGCTTATGTCACATCATAAGCCAGTCTAAATGCTTATAAACATGTTTGACCGAACACTACCCTGCAGCCCTTCAGAGAGGAGGCAGAAAAGCATGATTTGTGTTCTCCTCCTATTTTCTGAGTCTACAGGATTCAAATTATAGCTACCATGGAAACTGCTTTGGAATTTCTGGAGCCCTTAATTTTAACTTAACATATAAAAACACTTTTGTGCTGATTTTATAATTATTCATGACGGATGAGAAAGTGACTAAATGTCTTTTGACAGGGAGGGAACACATAGGAACACTTCTTTTTCCTTTCTTCTTTTTTTTTTTTTTTTTTTTTTGCTTTCATAAAGATGCATGTATTTGAAATGCTTTCCTTACCTGGGAGCAACTCTTCCATCTCTTGCAGATTCTGACACCATAGCTGAGTTACAGGAGCTCCAGCCTTCAGCCAAGGACTTTGAAGTCCGAAGTCTTGTGGGTTGTGGTCACTTTGCCGAAGTGCAGGTGGTAAGGGAGCGAGCGACCGGGGACATCTATGCCATGAAAGTCATGAAGAAGAAGACCTTGTTGGCCCAAGAGCAGGTAGGAGCATTTTAACACCACGGCCTTTCCCCTTTTGTGCCAGAGTGTTCACTGCAGAGGTGATGATCTGCGGAATCGACATCTGGGATCACACAAGTTTTCCTTGGTGATCCTCTGGTTAATGACGGTTGCAGAAAGCTCTCTCACATTCTCAGCTTTTCTTCTTGAACTGATATTGACTCATTTTGAAGCCTCACAAGCTCCCCTTGATTTCTTTATCCCGTTTCTCTGGTTGTATTTTGTTCAGAATCAACATGGCCTTTTAACTAACGAATTTAAGATGACCTTCCTGACCGTCGGCTGGGGGATTTCGAGATATGCATATTGTGGGGTTAGGCAGCGTTCGCTTTGGGGCACATTTTCTTTGTGCTGTGGGCATATATATTTGATTTTTAAACAGGCCTTTGAAGAAATGAAATACAGTTACTCTGTGGCTAGGGTGTTGCTTGTTTAAGAGCAGGTAAGAACTTCCCTTTTTGGTCGTGGTATTTTTCTTTCTTTAAACAAGCCTGCTGCTCCAGACATATTGATTCATTTGCCGAGTTTCTAGAGAGACGGTCATCAGCCTTGGTGTTCAGAGCAATTTATTAGTTACAGATGTCCGAGCACACATCATGTGTCCGATAATGTACCCAGCTCCGTGGGAAGCCTGCAGAAGAAATTGAAGCTCCATGGCTGTTAGTTACAGGCTTTAAAAACAACTTTGGAAAGTGGAGGAAAAATGCAAATGTGTAAAGCAGGCGCTTAGCAGCTAAAGCATTGCAAAAGGGAGAGCAGTGAGCAAATTCACCAACTATGGAGTGAGGAGAGATGTGGGTGAGCCAGGGACAGTCAGAGGAGGTTCACACCGCTGAGAGGGAACGTAGGTTCTGGGCAGAGAAGCGTGATGGCAGGTGGAAGTGTGTGTGTGTGTGTGTGTGTGTGTGTGTGTGTGTGTGTGTGATTTTTCTGGAGGATTGAGTACTAGAATGCTATACAGATGTGTGTGTGTGTGTGTGTGTGTTTTCATCTTAGTGGTTTAGAACAGATGGAATGAGGAGAAATGAGACATTGGGTTGGGGACAGGGTCATCGGGAAATTGGAAGAACCTTTTTTTTATTGTGGCAAAATATACATAGCATAACATTTACTGTTTTAATCCTTTTTAAGGTACAATGCACTGGTCTTAAGTGCATTTACAATGTTGTGTGCAACCATAACCACTTTCTGTTTCTAGAACTTTCTTATCACCCCACATAGAAACTCTGTACCTATGACATGGTAACTCCCCATTCCCCCAAGAACTGTTTTTCGGAATGGCAGTTCACTATGTGAGGCGGTTGGGGATTGTTTACACTTTTGGAAGGAGGAGGTTGGGATCAGAGTTTGAGGACTCAGTGACTTTGTGAGGCCTCCAGTCAAAGGAGCAATGGAGGGCAGGAGGCTGCTTGTCAGAGTCCAAGAATGATGTAGCCTGTGTTTAGCAGTGAAATGTGAACAACTTCACCGAAAGAAGAAATGACAGGATGTTGCAAATCATTTGGAAGGGAAGAATGGTAGATGCTCACTCAAGCTCCCAGTACCTAAGCCACCACCTATCATCAGGACGCACTTCCCGAGCACCTGTTCTGCATGGTGTGCTTCTTGGTCCTTGAGAAGAGGCATTAAATGTAGCCCTGACCTTGCAGTGTTTGTTTTAGATGGGAAGTAGTGCATGTAAAAAGAAAACAATCTAATATACTGTACTGCAGGCAAGCAATAGAGATGTTCGAATAGGTGTGCCTTCCTTCAGGTGAAGGACTCTCAATGACCTTGTGTGAAGTATGGGCTGGGGGTTTTTATTTTTTCATTTAATTTTATTTTTAATTTATTTTTAATTTTATTTTTTTTGAAATAAAGTGCGAGGTTTGAACTTACAACCCTGAGAACAAGACCTGAGCTGAGATAGAGAGGCAGAGGCTTAACCAACTGAGCCACCCAGGTGCCCTGCGTGGGCTGGGGGGTTTTTAAAATCAGACACACACAGGAGCTAATGAAAGCTACCCAACCATTCCTTAAGAGAGTTCTGAATATGAAGAAAAGTAGAATCTTTAATTGAGCCATGGCAGGGCTTTGGAATTTAAGGGCATGAGAAGAGAAAAACCAGCACAGGGAGTGAGTGAAAGCAAATGCCAGAGAAGGAGACGGGAGGGGCACATCCTGTAAGCAAGACCGGTCACCCAGGAGAGGCCAGCACAGCTGCCCAGGGCTCGGTGAGAACCAGAAGAGTCCTCAGAGACCACTTATTTTAACAGAAGCTTCAGGACTCAAACAGAGAGTTCACGGTGAGCAAGTAAAGATGTAGGTTCTTCAGTTCGGCCAACCTTCACTGCACACCTTTTATGTGCTGGGAAAGCAGAAGGACCTCAGATCAGGAGCAGGAGATTACAGGAGTTGGGTTGTGGTTCCCCAGCAACACCTAGATTCGTGTTTGATTGAATAGCTGGGTGCTGTAGCCTAGCCAAGTTGACACGGAAAACTATTACAAAGTATGAACAACTTTTTTCTTCCTGAGCCATTTGAAAATCCGTTGCCAACCCGTTGCCCCATTACCTCCGAAGACTTCAGTGTGCATTTCCTACAATAAGGATGCTCTCGTATGAACCACAATACAACCAACAAAATCAGGAGAGAAACAGTGCTCCATTACCACTGTCTAATATTCAGACCCCATTCATGTTCCACTGGTTGTTTCATGTTCCTCTAGAACAAAAGTGTCCAGCTCAGGATCCCACATAGCATTTAGTTGTCCTGTCTTTTTAGTCTTTTTCATTCTGGACCAGCTTCTCAATTTTCCCTGGACTGTCATGATCTTGGCGATTCTGAAGATTAGAGACCAGTTATTTTGTAAAATATAGATATGTCCAGTGTTGTTCAGGTTCAAGTACTAGCTCTTTGGCAGGAACATCACAGATAAGATGCCCTGTTCTTCTCGTTGCATCCCAACGGGTGACTTTGTTTCAGTTTGTTGCGTTCACATCAATGTTCACTTAGGTATCTGCCATGCTTCACTGTGGGGTCAGCCCTTTCTGCTTCGTCATTACATTAGTGTTCTGTAGGGAGGTGCTTTCAAACTGGAAGCACCTGTTCCTCACAAAACTTTCAATTTATTAACTTATAGCTGTGTGGATTTGCATTTTCCTGTTTAAGTCAATGAGTTCAAGCCATTATTGTCATTATGTATTTTTATCCTCAAACTGTCCCCTAAGTTGGGCCACGAGAGTCCCTTCAGGTTGGTTTTTATGTCTTTTGACACATCCCCCTCTTTGGGTTGTCTCTTGCTTTCTGGTACAACAAGATGTTCAGGCTCTTGCCTGCCCCACCCTTGCAATCAGTTATTTCTCAAAGATGAGCAATGACTTTCAGTGTAAGAGGCTATTTAGAAGCCAAGATCTGGGCACTAGATGCCCTTATTGCTATTGCGGTATCACTGCTTCCAGACCCCTTTCAGTGGACAGAGCCAGGGAATACACCTACCTCCGCGCACACACACATTTACATCGATATTTATTTCTCTGTCTCTGTATATTGAAAAACCATGTGTTCACACCAATACCTCCAAGTCCGGTCCAGCTTCACTGAGTTTATTCTAGTGTTCACCGTTTCTGTGTTTGTAGCTCTCTTCCCTTAATATTCTAACTTTATGCATCTGTGTGCATCCAGTCTCCTGTCTTTGCTACCACTCCTCCCATTGGTGGGCTCAGATGCCCTGCTCCAGGCCATCCCTGCATGTGGATGCCTTCCTCACCCTATGTGGGCCCTTGATATCCGGTATTGGACTGCCCTCCCGCATGGTCGCTGCCCTCCTCACCCTGCTTGGGCCTGGCACCCTGTTCTGGGCCACTGTGGCCCTCTCTCCCTACCACCTGTCATGGATGCTTACCTTATTCTGCATCACCTAAGGGCTTTAGGACTGAATTGTTCAGGGAGAGGAGGTGAAGAAGAAGAGAAAGAGAAAGGTACTTAGATTTAAAAGAAGTGAGTTGACTTTAAGGCGAGGGGTTCAGCCAATAATTGGACAAATAAGATACAAATCTGGCAAAAACGTTGAGCAAAGTAGGCAAATGAATGAAATTTTTCGAGTGCTGGGCTAAGGGATGGTTTTTCTTTTTTTAAACTAGAGACATTAGTTTTGGCTTACAGAGAGAGGATAGGGCATTCTCCCCACCCGACCCCAGTGCTGTTATAATTGTCTAAAGAGTTTCTTTTTCCCCTAGGTTTCATTTTTTGAGGAAGAACGGAACATATTATCTCGGAGCACAAGCCCTTGGATCCCCCAGTTACAGTATGCCTTTCAGGACAAAAATAACCTTTATCTGGTGAGTCTTTCCATCCATCTCTCTAGAATTAGTCCAGTGCTGACACTCAGATATCACAGATGTAGAACTGGATATAGTTCTTGCCCGTATGGTCCGTCGAGTTGCTTTCCTGACTTTGAGGTATCTTCCTATTCTCCTGTCCTAAAGATTAAGGGCCAGTCCATTTAGAGACAGCCCCATCTATTGCTGGGTATTGTAGTCATGGCTTAAAGGGCAATAATGAGAAGTCATTTATTTGGGAATAGTCTGATATGACCTTTAGTAGACTAGAATCTTTAATTTTTTTTTTGAGTCGTAATCGACATATATTATTAGTTTCAGGTGTACAACATAATGATTCAGTATTTGTCTATGCTGCAAAATGATCGCCACTAAATCTAGTGAATGTCATTCACTATATACATCATGACCTGAGCCGAAGACAGATGCTTAACTGACTGAGCCACCCAGGTGCCCCTAACTTTCTTTCTAATCCTTTCTAATCCTAGGAAAACATATTAATGGTTATGTATGTTCTTCCTGACCCTAATGGAAAAAATATTTCTATGTCTGTATTTATAACACACGTGTATAGTTTGTTTTTACAAAATTGGTGTATATTGCTTTCTACTCTGCTCCTCAGCTTGCTTTTTGCCTTTCAGCAATTTACCCCCAACATCTTTCCACGTCAGCACATACACATACAGATCTGCCTCATTCTTTTGTTTTTGTTTTCTATTAAAATTAGTCAATATTTTATTACCTCCGACATTTATTTTTGCCTTTGCCCATGGCAGTGTGTGGCACACACAGGCACATCGTGCCTTGTTTTGTTTATTTTGTGCTTTGGTATCATTAAACATTTGAGTGTTAGGGGCACCTGGGTGGCTCAGGTGTTAAGTGTCTGCCTTCGGCTTGTGTTATGATCCCAGGATCCTGGGATCGAGTCCTGCATCGGGCTCCCTGCTCGGCAGGAAGCCTGCTTCTCCCTCTCCCATTCACCCTGCTTGTGTTCCCTCTCTCGCTGTGTCTCTCTCTGTCAAATAAATAAATAAAATCTTAAAAAACCAAAAACATTCGAGTGTTAGATGCGATTCAGAGGATAGTTATAGAATTTTGCAATTAATTGTAAATGAATCTGGAAAGGGGAACTGCCTCCCTACCACAGCTTTTTTTTTTTTCTAATTTTTTATTTAAATTCAATTAATTAACATATAATGTATTATTAGTTTCAGAGGTAGAGGTCAGTGATTCATCAGTTGCATATAACACCCAGTGCTCATTACATCACGTGCCCTCCTTAATGTCCAGCACGCAGTTCCCCCACACCCCCACCCGCCTCCCCCAGATCTGCCTCATCCTTTTGAACAGCGCCATAGTATTTCTGATGTACGTGTAGCATAACGTATACAAGGCTAAAATTCATTTTGGGGCCTTGTTTAGGTTCTTGGGGGTTTAGATTCCTAAAGGAAAAAAATGTATCCCAGAAACAATTTTTGTTCCTGATTCAGCCCTTCAAACATGACTTATCCTATTACCTTGAATGGAGAGAAACTTTTACAGAGGCTCACATAAGAGAGAAGGTAAGAGAGGAATGGACTCTTATTTATCTTGAACTTCCATAGGGTAGTTTGGGGGACTTTGTTGCCTTTATTTCTGACCTATAATAAACAGTTTATTTGCGTTGGTTTTATATTAGTTGAGAATGCAGTGCTGGTAGAGAAGACCCCCTTCCCCTGCCAGCTCTACCCAGCCTTCTGAGCGAGGGTGTTTTCATACAGATGTGTTGGGAGACGGGCCTTGCACTAACCACATGGTTCTTGAGGACCAACACTATGCCTGTTGTTTAGGGCCTGAAACTTCCTTTTCTTGAATATTGTGTTTGGACCTTTCCTTTCCTGAGACATGGGGCATGGATCCCTGACCTTCATAACTGACCGTGGTATGTTTTAGGCTCACTGACATTCTGGGATATTTCTTGCATACACAACATTTGCCTTGTGCTCTCTCTATCTCCTAGAGCCCCTCATGTTTGGGTGTATTAACAGACTTCTTCATTAGCTCTCAGAAAAGAAGATCCCTTGAAACAGCAGGGATTTATTTGTTTGTTATTATTGTTTTGGATGTTTTAACTTCAGCTCTGCAAGCAGTCTTTTTTGTGTTCAAGGCAACACAGAATACAGGCAGTCCTGGAACTAGCAAGGGCCCCGATTTGTGGCAAAAGTTGACAGTCCCCAGTTTTCTGGTTTGCCTCGCATTGTTCTGTAAGCTTGTATTTCTCTTCATCTGGATTGAAGACCCAGACAAAGTGCATCTTCAAGAGTTTAATACTTGGTCATTTCAGAAATGTTAATCTCTTTGGGGCCACCATTTTTATCCCTGCCAATTGGCTTTGTCCCAGTAGTGGAACTTCCCTTTCTTTTTAATCGTGGAATTCACCCCTGTGGACTTCCTCTTGGTTACAGCCTTGCTGGAATACCTCAGGGATTGGGAATGTCAGCCACTCCTCTGCGAAGACATCTCCCAGCGGCAGGGGGCTTCCTTTTTGGGGCCTTTTGGCTGTGGGGGGCTTCTATCTGGATTTTGCCACTGGCATCAGCATTCTGGGCTTAATGACCATCTTCTCAGGTTTTCCAGCCACCATCTTACGAGATGGGAATGATCTTAAAACAGCTGTTTTCTAGAGTTCTCGTTCCCTTAAGCACATTGATACCTGGCTACAACGACTTTTTTTTTTTTTTTTTTTAAAGATTTTATTTGACAGAGGGAACACAAGCAGAGGGAAAGGGAGAGGGGGAATCAGGCTTCCCTCTGAGTTGGGAGCCCGATGTGGGGCTCGATCCCAGGGCTCTGGGATCATGACCTGAGCCAAAGGCAGACGCCCAACGACTGAGCCACCCAGGCGCCCCTGCAACGATATTTTTACACCCTTTAGTAGCTCAGTTGGGTATCGGTGATGGGATCTTGTAATTATTTCCTTGTCTGCATTCTCTTCTCAAGTACATTGGTAATTCAGAGTAAAATGCTTGCTAAGGGCACAGTTTTCTTATAAATATCCAAACTCAGCTTAGGAGCTAAGATATGATTATAGATCCACCATCCCTTATCTGCAATTCTGAAACACCCAGAGCTCTGAATACCTCAGGTTCTTTTGTTACTTATTTGGCAGCAAAACCTGACGTGAGCTCTGTAGCAAAACCTGACCCGAATCTCGTCTTCATTCCTTTTAGTGTGACTTTCCATACATTTTGCCTCAAAATTGTGAATGCATTTGGGTACAGGGAGATATCCCAAAGCCCTACCCTAGGATGTCACATAATATAAAGTATACACACCATTTTACCTTTCTAAAATCTTAACATTTTTAAGTCTGGAAATACATTCTGTCACAAGATGAGCATAGATCTGTATTGGCACCTGAAGTTCCAGAATTCCACTGTACCTATTGACCACTGACAGATCACCAAACCTTTGAAGTTCAGGGAAGCATACAAATCATCCTAAACTCCCTGTCAGTTAACCGTTCATTTGTAATGCAAATGCAGTGTAATTGAAGATACATTTAAAAATCAATGAGTAAAAGAAGTAGGATTGGTGTCTCATATATTTCTCAAAGCTACGTTTTCTCTCCATTCTTGGTTCTACAGGGTGAGTTCTGGCCGCCACCTTCTTCTGCCTGCATTACTGCAGTAACCTCCTAAGTGTTCTTCCTGCCATCTGTCTTGCCCTTACCCCAGGTCTTCTACACACTACAGCCAAGTCATCCCACTGTTAAAACCCTTTAAGACTCCCTGCTGCCCTCTGGATGAAGTCCAGACTCTTCCATGTGGTTTACAAGGCCTTTTCCCATATATCTCTAGACTTGTTGCTTACCTTTTCTCTCCTTTCACTTTAATTAATTAATTAATTATATTTTAAGAGACTGTGAGAGGTGGGGGGGAAGAGAGAATCTTTTTTTTTTTTTAAAAGATTTATGTATTTATTTTAGAGGTGGGGGAGGGGCAGAGGGAGAAGGAGAGGCGAGAGAGAATCTCAAGCAGACTCCCTGCTGAGCACAGAACCCATCACGGGGCTTGATCCCACAACCCTGGGCTCATGACCTGAGCCGAAATCAAGAGTCGGACGCCTAAACTGACTGAGCCACCCAGGCACCCCAAGGAAGAGAGAATCTTAAGCAGGCGCTATGCTCAGTGTGGAGCCTGACGTTGGGGTTCATCCCATGACCCTGAGATCACGATGTAAGCCGAAACCAAGAGCCAGACATTTAACCAACTGAGCCACCTAGGCACCCCTCTCCTTGCACTTTATATTCATTTCGACCTTCCTTTTGTTCTTTGAACTGGCCTCTGGCCTTTCTCTGTGCCATTTCCTCTTTCCCTATTTCCCTGGCTAACTCCTATTTCTCCTTCTGGGCTTGGACCAGTTGTCACTTCTTCCAGAAGCTCTTCCTGGCCCCTTTACTTCTGGGAGGGATGCCCTTCTGGCTGTGGACTCATAGCACCCTGTACCTCCTCTTCAGGAGTGGGTGTTGGGCTCCCCCACCAGGCTACTCCATCCACGAAGGGAGGGATTATGTCTCGCTTGCTTCTAGTAGCGCTTCTCCAAGCATATGCTTAAGAAGCATTTACTGGAAGAACGTATGGTTAATTTCATAGAAATTGATTTACACACAGATTAACTTATTGTGTTATGGAAATCACACATTAGGAGTGTAAATTTTATTCTCTAAAGTATGTAATTCAGGTTAGATCCAGTGGGATTTTCAAAATTTGAAGCACAGTGCAAGGAAATTGAACTTGGATCCTTTTGAAATTTGATGGTTAAAAATTTCCTATTTGTCATTACATACCAATGAATGTGGCTTGCCATTTTCTGGTATACAGAAAATTGTAATGAAGCCCATTGTGTTGTTAATGTCTGGTTCTATATAACAAGGCTAGTTCTGTATTCTGGCAGGCAGCCCATGGAAACAGCGCTTTGTTGATCTGGTTCATGATGAAATCTGTTCAGTTCCGTATAAC